TGGTGTCAGAACCAGGTAGAAGCTCTGATCATAGGTGAAGTCCCTGTCAAAAACCAGTAAGATCTCATCCTCTGGGTAGTCCTGTCAGATAAAAGAATTTTCAACATTCAGCTATTTTCATGACAGCGTTTCTTTAGAAAAAAAGTAATGTGGTGTATTTGAATGGATTCTGGCAACCACAAGGGAACTACAGGAAGAATTTGGTCAAGATAGTGTGCAACGGAGTGAGGTGGATTTCAGACATGAAGACTGATGCTGTAGGATTTAGGAACACAGAAAAAGACAGACAACCACACACGCATCACCAAAGAACAGATCAGTCTGTATGGGTCCCACATCAGAGTAATGTACTGAAGTAGAATGGGCATGACAGCATAAAGTAAAAGTGGTGGTTACCACATATTTCATCAAGATCAGAGACAGATGGGAAATGAAGTTAAACTGGTTACTGCTCTGTTCCCACATTTTTGTAACCTGGGAGTCTGTATATCATCACAGTGTCTTGGGGGTATTGTCTGAGCGATCTGTATGACAATGGATCAGCCTCACCAGCACAATCTGCTTCACAGGCCTGAAATCGGACACTGCAGCTCTTGTCTTAATGTCCTGTATGATGTCGTCTTTTTTCAGCAGCTTGTAAGGGCTCTCTATTGTGACGTCCTTGTCTGTGCGGCAACCAAAGTGCTCCTGGGTGGCTGATGTCAGGACCATGGGGAAGATATCTTCAGGATGACCTTGGTGAAAGAGTTCACGATCAACAGAGACTTGGATTTTATGAATATTTGGGCCAAGCACTCAATAATAGCATCAATTGATTGCTGGGTGACTTTCCAAAAAGTTATAGCTACTTCTATTTCAAAACATTGTTAGAGATCTTTAGATACTTTTTTTTGTTTTGGTGAATTTATTCAGAAACACAGTGTGTTCATATTCTCTTTCTCCTCTCCTGCAAACTGTAGCGAGTATGGCCTCATAAAGTCAATCTTTAGGATGATTCTGAAACGATAAGTTGAGGTGTCTTTGTCAGAAGCCAGAAGATTTGATACTGATGGTGTTATATACTATAATACTAATAATAAGCTAGGTTTTTCATGTCTATGTGTTCTATCCTGCAGTCTGTACACAACAAATTGCTGTCATTGTCTGTGCATCTTTAAAATATCTTCTTGAAATGATATGCACCAATATTACATAACAAGATTCCTTTAAAAATGGAGTGTCATAGTAAAACTGTTAGAATAAAAATATAAATGTTTAATGTCTGATTATGTCCTGCATATAAAATTTGTTTTCGTATCTTCACCAGAATGAGACAGGACTGACAGACATATGGGAAGAAAGCAGAAATGTAATTTGTATTTAGATGCAAACAGTGCTGAAAACAGAGATACAAGCGTGATGAGTGGCAATGTAGAGATTCCACAACTAAGCATCTAAACCTCACTTATCCACGTTGGATATTTGTACAGTGGGCAGGCTTTAAAGTCACCACTGCCTTTTCTCATCAAACGCACAACCATGCCTCTGATCCTTCACCTGCCTCTACTTGCAGGGTGGACCACCCTACAAAATCACAGGATGAAATGTAATCCTTGTAAAATTGCCTACAAGCAATGTCCCACTGCTTACTGCTCTATTTTCCACAATACTGGCATATGAGAGGCAGATCAATAATGCATGAATGTGAAACATAAACTGCTCAGTTACAGTCATCTAACCAGGATTGTTACTATATAAAACCGCAGTGCTGCGCCAGCACCACAGCAAAGTTGTCTTAATAAACAATATATGGAGACTCCTCCATATCTAAGGCCAGGCTCAGCCCAGGGCACACTACAGTAAACAGGACCCTGCATAATGATAGTTTTCATCCTGCTTGCGGTCTCTCTCTTCAAAGTCTTTCCACAAGGTTGCTGAGGGGACCCTTGGAATGCTAAAGTACAGCTTAAGTAACCACTTCCCAGCTGGGTGTGTCAACCTTTCCCACTCACACCACTTAGGCCTCACGCCAAATCATTGTAGTGGAAACTCACACCCCTCATTTCACAGAGTTATGTGTCAACTAAATGTATTCATGGGAAATATTTGCTTGAGAGACAAAGAGAGTGTGATGTGCAATGTTCCATAACCCTAAAGAATGCAATTAAACTGCACTTGTAGGCTGCGACTGTATATTGTAAGATATTTATACTATAACACAGTACAATGTAAGTATGGCTGTTTGTTTTCATTTCTCTTAATAGTGAAGAAATTAAGCCTGAACAATAGACCTGTATCAGCTGATATGATCATCTATCACTTATATCATCAAGGTCCTTGAGAAACCTGTTCAGGAGTGATGAAGTCAGTGGGCCACCATATAGGCATTGTTACTTGATGTGGACTAACAAAACGTTGGTCCCCAAAAGGTTAACAAATTTAATTACAGGTTACGACTTGGTTTTAGGTGACGTTTACGATCAGGATTAGGTCATGGTTAGGATAAATCTATTTGGATGTGTTAATTTGGGAGATCTAACAACCTTGTTCTTTTACTGTTGGTTGTATAAGATGAAAATTGGTGAAATTAATGAATACAATGAATACATGTACAAAACAGCCAGGACTCTTAACACCACTGTTTGTGACCAAAAGCTTGGTCACAAACAGAATGCATATCATTTGCCCAACTCATCTCTGATTTTTAGTTTCAGTCATACTTGTTACATCCTTACATTAAAGTAAGACAGTTCTCCTACATTATCTAAGACAAGTCTGAATAATTGGTTTATTCAGTACTGTGCAAATGTTTTAGGCAGGTGTGGAAAAAATGCTGTAAAGTAAGAATGCTTTAAATAATAGACATGTTAATAGATTTTAGTTTTCAAGTAACAAAATGCAATGTGAATGAACAGAAGAGAAATCCAAATCAAATCAATATTTGGTGTGACCACCCTTTGTCTTCAAAACAGCTTCAAAGCTTTTTCACAGTCCTGTAACTTTCATTAATTCATTGCTCTGTCAAATAAATAAAAGGTAATCAAATACAAGGTTCAAATTAGAATTATACAACTAATTAGTTTTCTGTATCCAAAGGCCTTGTAAGATTTACTAGATCTCTAGATAATGTAATTTAAGATTATTCAAATTTGCAATTCCTGCAGGCACCTACAACAAAAACTGTTTACTTTAAGGCAGCATCTATGCCGAGTATAACCAAAGGCCAGTTAACCCACCACTTTTTCTGAAATTGTTTACCTATTTATTTCAAGTTGACATGACTGTGAATGCACTAAGCTAAAAGAAAATATTTTAATTGTCTCTTCTACATCATAGTTTCATCATAGTAAATAAAGTAAAACAGTGAATAATTTTCTCTTACCAGGCTTTTCCATGTGTGCAGGTGACTGAGTCTTTTTGCCTGAAAGGGAAGTAACAGTCACCATTTTTTAACTCTCCATTTGATCTTCCTTAGACAAACATGCATTGTATTTACATGCATTAACTAGTTTTCACACCCTCACCTTTACCTTTCCCCTTACTGCCTGCACTGCTTGTTGCACTTTTTTGTCTTGTAGGTGGCATCGTTGCACTTAGGATGGCTTCACTGATGAGAAAGAGAAGGTTTATGTATAAATTCTCTGAAAACATTTCTCCTAGCAAAACATCAAACTGCACATTTTTAATCAATCATTATCAATTCACGTGGCGACATCTTGTGGAGGATAAGAGAATTGCCTTGCAATTTTTGCACTGCCCTTTAAGAAGGCTATCTAAATATATACTTTATCTGTAAATAGAAAATTCAGCCAAGTCTGACTTACATTTTTATGGTGTATTTCAGTTTATTATTGCGAAGGTTACAACTAATGATATAAAATGGGGAAGGAAGATTACGATAAAACGAACAATATCACAATTAAATCCAGCGATGAAAATGTAATTTAAAATACAATTGCCTAAAGTACTTAAATATAAGTATTTTTTATTATTTTGTTTATAGTATTTTATGCTATTTTAGAGTATTGTCTTTTTTTATATTGCCTACTGTTCCATTATATATATTAAATATTTTCTTAATTTATTTAAATGTCTTACTGTATGTAAAGCACTTGGAAGAACCTTGTTGTTGTTGGTCCTATACAAATAAACTTATTTACCTAAAGTATCAAAAGCAAAAGTATGGCCCCATTCAGAGTATTATGTTACATTAGTTATTGAAACTGATGCATTAAAGTGTGAGCAGCAATATCATATTATATTTGCTCAAGGTGCAGCTACTTTTCACTTACTTATATAACGTTAACGTTCCTATTGGGTAAATTGATTCGTCCGTGCATCATGTTTTAAAACATATACATTAAATCTTTAACTTATAAAAAGAAACAATAGATGTAATATATTTTCTGCTGGAATACATGAACTTAATACTTGCAATACTTGTACTTAACCTCGTTACTTTCCACGACTTCGAATTATGTTGGTCATAACTAATAACGCCACATTATCATAATGCAATATACAATATATAACGTTAAGTTACAGACACATTAACGTTACATCCGTACTTGTACGACAAGACGTTAGCGTAAAGCAGCCTAAGCTATTGTTAATTTAGCAGAATTTACTGGCTAGCTAAGTTAACTAGAAGAGGTAACGTTAACGTAATGTAAACAGATGTGGTTAAAGAGCTCTAGGAATACAGTTTGTTTATTACAAGTCAAGTTTCGTCGAAGGCGCTGCTATTCGCAGTTAACGATAATCGCACTAGAGATGCGGCTACTACACAACTATAGTTTATAAACGAATAAATAAAGTTTACCTGTAGTTAAACCGTAGCAGTTTGCTTGAAATCCTTTCCACAATTTCAGCTCGCCCGCTCATCAGTGGGACTGTTTGGTTTCCAGGGGTTACAGCAAAAAAAACATTGACTGACAGATCCAAGAGCCAATCATGTCCCAGCAGTGGAATGACGTCAAGTCGTAAACTGTGGTTGTAAAACGTTACCTGAGCCACACAGCTTGAGGACTTCGCTCACACCAAGAAAACACCTATGGACAACACATCACAAGACAACACATTCTCCAGAAGTCGAGTTTATTTACTTAAGTCATGACATTCACAATTAAAAAACAACAGCAATTTGAGTACGTTATGAGTTTTAATTGAGAGACATCTGAACACAACCACAGACCACTGGTGGATGCAACCAAACGGTAATTAACCTGGTGCGGGACAGTGGTAAGTAGGCCACTGGCTAATTTTATGTTTCATTTAATTCCTGTTCACTGTTGGCCTGGATCGACAGGACGTCATTTTAACTCTCACACGACAATTAATGAATATTTCATAGTTTGCCGCAAAGGTAGAAGTTGATCAGGTTTCACAATGTGATCTGCTGTGTATTATTCAACAATGCTCAGGTACACCTGACTACAATTCCTTCTTCTTCAAAGACAATTGCTGCTTAGTCAATTTGGGTAAAGACAAGTTAGAGCTATGCCTAAGGGATTTCACTTTCAGATACACCTGTACAATCTAATGCAATAAAGTACAGAAGCCCTGCAATAAACCATATGATATTTCAGTTCTGTACAGTTATGTTTGCATTCAACTTTTTGAATTTGAAAGGCAAGTGTATTGGATTTCGTAATCTTAAGAAGTGTTTCTGTTCTACCTAATTTTTGTTTCCTTTATGCACATTCAATAAAATGAAATCCAAAAGTAATACATGTTAACTAAAATCCCTCCATGCTCAAGCCAGCCTACACTTTTTTTATGAAGTACAAATATGGCAGGACAATAAAACAATAACGATAATTATCGCGATAAAACAAAACAAATGTTCAATAAATATTCAATAAAGGTTTGATTTTATTCACTTTTAGTTAATTTTTTCTCAAGAGTTTATCATAATTGTTTTGAATGTTCTACCTCAGTTTTGTGAAGTGATCCACTCTTTGGCATCAAGTGTTTGTTCTGACCATAAAGAAGAGTTTAAACCACAGTTAACCATCAGGTTTCTTCAACTTTCACTCAGGAGAAAAAAATCATCCTTTAAACTCAAAAGAAATAACGATTTGATACTTAACGTGACAATTATCTAGGAAAATTTTTTTTTTTATCGTGATAACATTTTTGGCTGTATCGTCCAGCCCTAAGTACAAACATGTAAATGTTTATGTTATCAATCATTTTATATTTAATTGTCACATTTCATTGATCTGAGTAATGTTATAATGCCAATTTTTATATAATGTCAATTTATTGCACGTAAGTCACCAATATTTAGTTTATTGTAGATATGGACGAGTCCAGTGTCCCCCCTCCCTTGGCCAACCACCAACATCAGTGTGTGGAGGATCTCAACAACGTGGAATGTCTCAGAAGGAAGATCAAATATTACTTCATGAACCCATGTGAGAAGTACCACGCTCGTGGCCGAAAACCATGGAAACTCATAATCCAGATCATCAAAATTGCCATTATTACTATCCAGGTAATCTCAAACATGACCAATATGTTAATTGTGTTATATCATCATCCTGATAACAAGTGTCTTTTTTTCACAATCTCAGTTAGTGTCTTTTGGCCTGAGCAACCAGATGGTTGTCACTTTCAAGGAGGAAAATCTGATGACATTCAAGCACCTCTTCTTGAAAGATTATGCTGATGGAGACATGGATATGTATGCTGTTTACAGACAGGCTGATGTTTATGATCACATCGACTACATCATTGAACAGGTAACTGCCACATTTTTTTTTTTTATTTCCTCCGTTTTACAAAGAGCAGCTGGAAGGGGTATTTTTATAAGCTCAAATTTGTTGGTGTGTCAGTTTATTTTGATCATGTGACAGATTGATTGGACTTTGCTCATGCTGTTTGAATTTGTATAAATTAACTGCATGAATCTACTGTACAATGGCAGTTCACCCAAACAACCTAAACTACTGCAGCTACTTTTTCACCTGACTTTATCTTATCTATTTCAATTGTTCATTTCTAGTATGGAGTTCTGCACAACATCACAGTAGGCAATCATGAATATGGGAAAAACGGCACTATCTACATCCCACTCTTACTATGTCAGGAGTTCTACAGAAACAGTACCATCTTCCCCGGAAATGACACCTTTGAAATAGATGCGCAAGTGGAAACTGGTATGTATGCATGATTGTTTGATTGAGTTAAAGGATAAACAGAATACATAACCAGATTTAATGAGTTTTATTTGCAAAACATTTCAAATTTCTTTTTGTTGTGGCTTGCATCTAACAGAGTGCCTCAAAGTTTATCCGATGTATCGCTCATCATTGCGGAACGCACATTTTAAATTGCATTTCAAAAGGTCTGTATGTAACTATATTTTTCTTAACACAAAATCCTTTTCCTCTCTGGGATGTATGATTTAAAAAAAAAACTAAGTTAATGTACCTGTTCTGTCTTCCAGGATGTTGTCTGTCAAGATCACATTTGTTCTCAAGGCCATAAACTTACAGACCATGAGACATCGAGAGCTGCCAGACTGCTACAACTTTGCTGTTATTGTATGTTTCATGACTTGTCCTCATGGCTCAGTAAACTATAGCGGATCAATCAAATTTTGTCTTTGAAAAGCAGTGATATGACATCTGATCACTTCAGCACAGATAGAAGTTAAAATGAAAAGAGTCAGGGTCAGTCCTGTGTTTATTTAATGAAGTTACGATGAGGACACAAATTTGAGCAGTTTAAAATGAAGGCTGTTTGCACTCATTGCTAGCTATTTACATAGTTAAATGTTATCTTTAGGGCTTCAGAATTGAATAGTCAGCTATTTGGTTTGGCTGTAAGGATGAAGTAAAAAATGTTCTCTCCCTTAAACATGGCTGTCTGGTTAACAGATCACTTTTAATAACCATGCTCACAGTGGCAGGATAAAGGTTGACCTGGAAAATGATGTTGACATCAATGAATGCAGAGACTGGAAAGTAACTGGAGCGTGTAAGTTTTTTTTTTAATTTAGTATGTACAAAGGAATAATCTGTATTGCTTTAAGCTTGTGTTCAGGATTCCTGGGATTCATTAAGACTGCTCTCTAAGCTTCAGACTTTGCTGCACAGAAAATCTGTTTGAAGACGATCATCCTTTTCAGATAAAACATTTTAATTTCTCTGTTCCCTCAGCTGCTAGAAACATACACCTGACTGTGCTCTTTGACTGCTTCATCATTATAATCTGCATCACCTCCCTCACCCTCTGCACACGCTCAGTGATCAATGGGATTCGGCTGCAATTTGTAAGCAAACTGAAGTGACCATAAAAGACAGCAATTATTTTTGTTATCCCAAGTAGTACTTTATTTGCTCAGACGAAAAGAATAAAATGTATGATTGTTTGATACAGTATCTGTTCATACTGTATTCATAAAATGGAGGTAAGTCAATGCCAGAAACATTTTCCACTGCCCTTAAAATCAGAAGGATGAAAGTCACAGCATCAGTCTGGGGCAAAACATTTAACCTGCTCAGTCAGTTTGTCTACTTATTTGTTTTATCTGTCCATTAATTAAAAGTGTTTATTAATTATGGGTACAACATAGTACTGTTTTATTGATTGTGATTATTTTGACTGATATTGCGAAATCATTTGGGACATTAGAGGGAATAATGAATCACCATTCTGATTTTCATTGAAAATTATGTGTAGTCTGAGTCATCTCTGCAGTGCTACCATATTTTGAATGGTATTTTTACACACATCATCAAATATTGCCCTTTTTCAATAAAACTTGGATTAATTGTTCTGCCCCAGTACAACAGCAGCTACGCGAGGGTAGATATCTTGTCAGTACTTCTTTATTTTGACTCTGTAATTCTCAGATACTCTACTAATGTAAAGTTACTGCTTGAGTCGTGACTTACGTGGAAGTGATGTAATATACTGCCCATTATTGGGATTGTGCTTATTCCTGGGACTGCCGCTTAATTCTTGTTGGTGCTGACTTGTTGGTTTCCCTTTGCCTGTTGTGTGGATTGCTTACATGGACTTCTGTAGTCAGTGCATCCCTGTATCTCTATTTGATATGTTAAAAGAAAGTTAACAACAGTACAACTTACCTGCATTTCCCTGTTGTAAATAGGATTACACACTCTACTGCAGGAACCACTGCAGTAAAGAAGTCCCCTGGTCAGACAAGTTTGAGTTTGTGAATGGTTGGTATATCCTCATCATTGTTAATGACATACTGACCATCGTTGGCTCCATTCTCAAGATAGAGATCCAGACTAAGGTAATGGGGATTTGCTATTACAGTATAGAGGTTGATCCATGTTAATTGCAATGTCTTTTTCAATATTACATTCTATCAATACTAGCTGTGCTAGCTAGCATGTACTTAGAGGCATTCCTTCAGTCCATTAGACACTTTTGTAAACGTCTGTTTCTTTTAGGTACTCACAAGTTATAACGTCTGCAGCATCTTCCTTGGGACAGGCACCATGTTTGTCTGGATTGGGGTCATCCGCTACCTGGGCTATTTCAGAAAGTATAATGTAAGATGCAGTCCATGTTCATTAGTTTCTATAAGTGCCACATGTAGTAAAAAGAATTACCACTGTTGTAATACAATTACAACAATAGCACTCATTATGTTACACTCTTACCTATCTGTTCATATTTCTGAAAACTGGCTCTGCAAAGGGAATGCCACTAAACTTTTTTTTATGTAGTTGTATATTTTACAATATTGTATGGCTATTTTCAGATTCTCATCCTGACACTCAGGGCAGCTTTCCCAAATGTTATCCGTTTCATCTGCTGTGCTGGAATCATCTACCTGAGTTACTGTTTGTGCGGCTGGATCGTCCTTGGCCCGTATCACGAGAAGGTAAGGAGTGTTTACAAAATACAAAGAAAAGTGGATTTTCACAAAAGCCAAACCAGAAAGTATTTATAATTCTAATCAGGTTCTCCCAATTTCAGTTGTTGATCATGAAGGACAGATAAAAATAATACCCGTTGCTTGTGTTTTAGTTTCGGTCCTTGAACACAGTGTCAGAGTGCCTGTTCTCCCTGATCAACGGAGACGACATGTTTACCACCTTTAAGAACATGGCACAGAAGAGCAGCCTAGTGTGGATTTTCAGCAGAGTGTACCTGTACTCCTTTGTCTCGCTGTTCATCTACATGATCCTCAGCCTTTTTATCACAATCATCACCGACACCTATGACACCATCAAGGTGACGTTTACTCTTGTTTTAGATATTTGTTCCTTTTTATTATTTTCCCTTCCCAGTTGTGTAGGATGATTTGTGTGCTGGTTATTCAGAGAAAAGTAATGGTAGAAGAAATATTAGATCTTATACTTAAGTAGCAATACCAGTGCAGACATACTCTCTTACAAGTAAAAGTCCTACAGTCACAATTTTAAGTACACAAGTATAGCATCAAACTTTACTTAAAGTACAATGTATTCATGTGTACAACATTATGTTGTAACTAGTAATGGTGGGGATTATTTTAATTACTTTAGACACTGCTGGGTAACTTGTGAATTTCACCCTCGGGGATCAGTAAACCTATAATAATACATTTGTTGATTGTATTTTGTATTATTAATCTGAATCTGTAATGTAACTAAAGTTATCAGATGTAGTGGAGTAAAACACACATTATTTGCCTCCGAGTTGTAGTGGAGCAGAAGAAGTATAAAGTAGCTGAAAATGGAAATACTCCAGTAAAGTACTCAAGTAAATGTATTTTGTAACTTTTCACCACTGGAGTATCGCAATGTTTCATTTGCAGTTGTTCTAACCATCACTTTCTGTATCATTAAGCAGCAGCAGCAGCAGAGTGGAACCCCAACCTCAGAGCTGCAAAAGTTCTTATCATTGTGTAAAGATCTGCCAAACTCTGGGTTGTACAGACTCGACGAGCACAACAGCTGCTTTGCCTGGTAGGTAATGTGCAGCTGGTTCCACTAAAAATTAATTTGAATATTGCAACATTTGCTTTTTGTGTTGTAACAAACTATTTTGGGTGCCCCTTATTAGCACTAATTATACTGAGGATGCAAGTGCAGTGCGCCAAAGCACTTTTTAATATTTTATGCAGTTACTCCACATAACATCTCAATAGAATCTAAGCTGAGCCATTTTCTCCTTTCAGGTGCAGGGAGCATCAAGGGAGGCAGACTTCAGAGGCATAGCAGGCCTTTATTTGGAGATTTTGAAAGGCTATACTGTATTATAGCCTAACAATAATATACACCTTATATGATTAAATTCAGTGGGAGGTTTTCTTTAACATTAGGCCTCAGGTGATTGACTTCTGAAATTTTCCCTTTTGTTAAAAGGTACAATGTGTAAGAATTGAAGAGATTTAAGAGTTTAAAAACTTCATCAGCAGAATGTGATAAAACACCACCCCATTTATACCTGGTATTAAAATGTGATCTGTATCCGGATACATTATCTGGATGATTAAATGATCCAATCTTGCCTTTGTGTTTACGCCGGGTATTTTTAGTGCATTCTTGTTATCCTCCTCAGATCTCAGTCCTAAAGCAAACCCTGTGCCTGAATAATTTGAGTTGCAACAAATCCACTCTAGTTTTAAAGAAAATCATGTACTTTTGTGAGTTATTGAACTTTGTGACGACAAATTCTTAATTATAGGTCCCCTTTTGTAAATCTGGCAAATAATTAATAATTTAGCTGACGCTGTTATTCAAAGTGACTTACAATTGCTATACATGTCAGAGGTCACACGCATCTGGAGCTCATAGGGGTTAAGTGTCTTGCTCAGGGACACATTAGTGGATGTCATGGTAGTAATCGAAACCAGGTCTCCCATACCAGGCCTGTGTCAAATCCACTGCTCCATTGCCACCCCCACATTTTAATTTTTTAAGCAGTTCTGTTGAATAATGCATCTTTTAATGCTTTGGCACAGAATAGACACATATTCAGACATTTGAGGCACAACTCTTTCAGCCTTTTAGCTGTGTTTTATGTTAGCTAAAAACATATCTATAATGTAATGCTGTGTATAGATGTCTGCAAATTGTACGGATTGTGTTTACACCTCCGAACACAATGAGAGCCAGACTACCTCCAGATGAGGTCAGGCAGATCCGATAACGAGACATTTAGACCTGTTTATACTTTTCCAGAGAACATGTCTGAATAACACAACCGTACACTTTCTGAAATCAGGTTTCTCTCTTTCACCGAACAAATTGCTTTGTCAACTCGTCTTAAAACACTTCATTCAAACTGCACAAACTCACCAAAACTGTTGTTAGTCTTTCCACTGTTTCAGCTCCACACACACACACACACACACACTATTCTGGCTCTACACACTATTGCCACCTACCCAATGCCCGACCGCCCTTTCGCTCCCCTACCGCTTGATGCCTCCTGTGCCCACCTGAACCCGCCATGCCTTCGTCAGAGCCCTGGTTGGAGCTGTTGTAACCCCGTCGGTCCTGTATTCACCGTCTGGCCTCGTTTCAGAGGCTGTGTTCAGTCCCGGTTCACAGGTAGGCTGATTAGCCTGACTCTGGTGCCCATTCAGGACTGTTTTTGATATGTAATATGCTGCCCCCTGTATGTTTAGAGTATAAATTTGATAGGGGAGTGTTGTTTCAATTCTTATACATTGCTCCTTTAAGGTTAGAAATGAAGGTACTAAAACATTGTAAAGTCTGGTCTCAATATGATGCACTGATGTTTTTCAGTATGCATGTCACTTGGAAGGACCCCCATGTTGTACACTGAAGACAATGAATCAAGGTTAAATAAATAAGCTCTAATGTAAATTCATGAGATTTTATTTCTCCATTGTCAGGAGAATATCAATATAAAAGCTACAATAACTTCTCCCAACCCCCACTCCTCACACTAGTTAAGCCCCTGTAAAATCTTGTTAAAATGGGGGGAAAAAAATCCCAGTTCAGTTCATGGCAATAATAACTCCATACATACAACCTTTAACAATGTAAAAACGATCAGTGAAGTCTTCAAAAGCAATATAGGGAAACAGATTCTAAAAATGGCTCCATTAGCCACTAGTGCAGCAGTAGTGGTGGATGTGGAACTCATTTCCCCAGAGAAGATTTGTTAATTGACCTCCAAGTTGAAGAGGTCTGAGATCAATTCAAACCAAGATGTACCACTCTGATAGACTTAATGTATTCACAGATTGGCAGAACAGGCCGTGCAATGATCCAATTTGCTTAATTTCAGAACCTCTGAGATGGGTTCATAGAAGGTCCATCATCAATCCCTTCAGTTTGGCTAAAGTTTTAAGAATACAGTACTTTTTAGTCCAAACACAAACCCCACAACCCACAGTTTGAATGAGTGGCTTGATGCAAGCCTCCAGAGTAGGCATCTAAAAAAAAAAAAACAAGTCGGCGAAAAAATTTCCCATGATTTACAGTCATAATGAACAGTTCTGTATTTTTTGAGACCCTTATTCTTTATAGTGTCCCTTGTATTCTTGGCAGTCTCACAGGAACGTTGTCAGGACAATCCAAAAAGGCAGAGCTCATGAGTATTGTGGGTTACAACAAAACAGCTTTGTTACTTCATCTGTTATCCTGAGACAATAAAAAAAAAAAACAATCACTCATGGGGTCAGCCTGGTTTGGATTGGGTGATGCCAGGGGGTGGCAGGACTCGCTGCTCCTCCATCCTGTTAGACTGGGAACGCAGGATGAGACTGAAGAAATCCTCATCTGGAACAGTTGGTCCCTTAGTTTTAGAGGGTGGAGCAGCACACCTCTGGTCGTTCAGTCGAGAGCCCTAAACAGTGACAGTTATTAGTAAATTGTTCTTTATAAGAGTCAACTGTTTGGTTCGAGTGACCATGCATCACTGCCAGTATTAGAAAAGCTCTTATTAAATGTAAAGTCTGTTAGATGTTTCACACTTTGTATTAGAGATATCTAGAAGAAAATCATTGTAATGATTTGGTTGTAATCAAAACACGTTTTTGAATAAATCTCCATAGGTTTAATTTAAGCCAAGAAAGTTAGTAAATCAAAATGCACAAAAAAAAACTAGAATTAAGGTGAAACAAAATCTTGTTGATCAAACCTCAGAGCAAATGAGCACTTAGCTAAAGCCAACTGTTTCCCATAATGCATTGAGCACCTGGCTCTGTACCTGTAAACCGCTTAATCTCATGAGATTATCACCACCTGTGTCAATGTGACACTGCAGCAAGTCATGTATTACACTGAGCTACACTGTGATCACGGATTCTGCACAGGCCTTACTTATCAGGAACTGCCCAACTGTTTTGTCATAATATACCAGTGACAAATTAGGCGTCTTAAGTGTTATTTTCCTGTGTGTGTGTGTGTGTGTGTGTGTGTGTGTGTGTGTGTGTGTGTGTGTGATCTCCTTGTAGCCACTCAGGACTGATTCAAAACACAAAGAGAAAAACTGAGTGGGGCTCAGGTCACAAAATAGTGTACCAAGATAGTTCATTCCCGTGCCTCTAAAATTTACAAACTGAACCCTGCAAGAACTTTCTTTACACCTTCCCACTATGTAAACAGAAAAATAATTACAATAAGTGGATTGAACACTCAAACAGTAATTATGACTGACTGAAAAGGATGTAGGCCAAGATTTTTATTTTTTTTTTGGAGGTCCATAATTTTATTAAATTTCCAAGAAGTTTCTTGGAAAGAACCATGCAATGTGGTACCAGTTATTATAATGAAAATAGAGACTTGTTAACTTGGTGCACATCCATGCAATTAAACATAGCTGGAGAATTAGGTTGGCTTTTAATGGATCAGCTCTTTAAATGAACGTTGTGTTTCCGCCCATAATTAGTAACAAACTATGTAGTTATTTCCAGGGACCTCTTGACATTTATTAAGAAGTTATTCACAAACTAGACCACCAGTAAAATAAAGTATTAGTAGAATTTCTATCTAATGTGGAACACCCGTTATGCCTGGGCAGCAGCAATATACTGGATTTATATTTCTTACCTGGCACTTCACTAGCATGTCGAAGAAGACATCATCCCCCTCAGGCTGCTCAGCGTTTACCTCGAGGTGACTGTACAGGGAGGGTATGTGAGAGGTATCTATACTGGAGGTGGGGGCTGGGAGGAGAAATTAGCATAGGTCATGATGCGAGTAGTACTACCGAGTGATGCTGAGGGAGATGACAGATTAAGCAGCATTTTGTCACCTTGTGGGTGGACTTGATCTTTGCTGGAGGTGGAGGGTGTACGAGGCAGGTTGGAGGTGTTGAGACGTAAGCCAGGAAAATGGTTCAGGCTGACTCGTTGGTCGTCCAGACGACGGGCCTGGGAGCTGGCCAGCAGCTCCAGGAAATGACCAGGATCCTGCAATGGTGTTTCGCACTCCAAAATAGCTAGAAACAGAGATTGTAACAAATGAAGGGTGGTTTAGAATACGTGTGCTGGTAACAGTGAGTTGTTCCTTTTACTCCTATAGCCATTTCATTATGATTTTGTAGAAGGCAAATACTGGGGGAGGAGCATAAGAGTTTGAGGAAGAGGAGATCCCTGGTTACTTATTCTATGACATTTAAAGCAACACACAAAATGTATTTGAGCATCAAACACTTCAAAGAGACTTGGCAGTTGGCTATAAAGTATGTAGTTTTGTCCTCATGCATTATCACAGCCATCATACTGTGAGCTTGGATTTGTGACCATAACAAGGATAGACAAAAAGTATTAAGGTCCATAAAAGCTGCTTTGCTCAGTGAAGGATTAAACTCCAACCTTTTACAGGTAATGTTCAAGGCTAGAGGCGTTTGAGTGCTTGACACTCAAATCACAGATTTTGGGTAGCGTATCACTTTAATGCCTTTGACACAAACAACACAAAAGGATTAATCACACAATATAGGGCCAGTGTGTAGGATACAGTGGCATCTAGTCGTTGCAGATTGCTACATTCTCAAATGTAAGCTGCTAAACTCGCAAAAACACTAAAGGCCCTCTCTAGAGTGTTAGTGTTTGGTTTGTTTGTTCTGGGCTACTCCATAGAAGAAGACCCGTTTCCTCTATAGATATAAAGGCCTCATTCCAATGTAACAAACACAATAATACTTATTTTAGGACAATTATACACTAATGAAAACTATTGAATAAATATTGAATACTTGTGAATATTACATTCATTTCTGACAATTTTACACACTGGTCCTTTTAATATATAAAAGGACACATTTGGGGACATGCTGCATTCACACCATATGAGGCAGAGGTGGTATTACACAGCAGACTTGTAAATAAAATAAACCAAGATCTTTACCAAAGAACAAATTTCTTTTACTCGTTTCCACTTCTTCTTTCCCCTTGAAAGATGAGTCAGAAAATTGTACTATTAAATATGGTGTGAACACAGATGAAAACACAAGGGGCTGACTCACATTTCGTTTCAGCTATAGGTGGGGTGGAGGAGGGAGAGGAATGAGCAGGGGGTTGGCTCTGGCCATCCATTAGGGTGCACCTTTGGTCGTCCATTCTGTTGCCCTGGAAACGAGAGAGGAGGTCGAAAAAGCCATCCTCTCCAATAGTGTCCTGTGATCCTGGCTACAGTGATAAAAAAAAAAATAACCCCAACAAAGATAACAACTGAATAACATTAGAAAAGAACAGAATAGCGGACAACCAATATAACATCAAAATACATGGATAATAGCAAGGCATACTGCATTAATTACAACTTTCAAACTCTCCCGTTAGGGATTGTAGTCCTGGGTAAGATGAATTACAAGTTAATGGTACAGTGTCTATAGCATAGCCTATAGACACTTGTAGTCATCATACCCAGGACCACAGTTTCCTTGATGTTTAGCCACACAGTTTCAACTGAGTGACACAGGTGTTCTGCATTAAAGGTTGTTCTTTTAACCTTTTGTACTGCTGCATTTACTTGCTGCCTGTTCTTGCCTTGAGGGTCTATCACCGAAAGCTTGCTAATAAAAAGATTTTTGTAAAGATTTAAGTGTGTAGATGCTTCCTTTCCATTGAGTTTCAAACATAATGAGAAATGATGGTTCCACACCAAACATTTCCTCTGTATTACTGTAAATTAAAAATCTT